AGCTGTTTTTTCGTAAATGGAATATATGGACAAGCATTCAAAACCTAGTAAGACTCCCAAACTTCCGCTGTTCTCTGTTCACTAGCTAACTGCAAAATTTAAAATGCCAAGAAACTACATATCGTTTGGACTGATTTCCTTGGCTTATTATTTAGGTGATGTCGGCATTATAATTTTTTGCGTATAGTTGTCTACAATATTTTATGTAGGCTTGATATGTAATTTGCAGCATGCTTTAGATTTTTATTCCCCTTTCGACAGGGATGGGCTCCTTGGCAAATCTTATTAATTTCAGATGAATAGAACAACAACCAAGTTGGGGCCCACTGATTTACTTGGCTAAAATCCTAGTGAATGGAACTAGGAGTGTAACTGTGTGAGCCGGCTTTTAAAGAGCTCGTGAATTCGGGCCATGAGTTCGAGCTTGAGCTCGTATATTAAATGAGTTCAAGCTCAACTCATTGAGCCACTTGATTAACTTAAAATATTTTTAAAAATAATTTTAATTAGTATTATATAATATATTTTAATATTTTTAAATTAATTCTATATTAAAAATTAAAATAAAAAAAATTTGAAAAATTAATTTAAAACTAAGAAATCGAGCTCAACAGTCGATGCAAGCTAGAACTTTTCAAACGAGCTCGAACAAAATTTTTTAACAAGTCAAGCTTGTAGTAAAAACTAAACAATTTTAGCTTGATTAGGCAGATACTCGACTTGACTCAACTTATTACACTCCTAAATGGAACTAACTTTTACCCTAGTCTTTGATCTAATATGCAAAGAATACAAGAGTTTAACTCTGTAGTTTTTTATATGAATTGCAGGACGCTCGTTAATGGTATCTGTTGGATATCTTATGAAACAACTAGCTGATGAGTGGAATCTCTCTGTTCTGGTTTGTGATAAATTACAATTTCCCATCTCCAATGATATAAATGTTCTCAAATTTTAACATTGTCTTTAAAGTGTTTATAAATGTTTTTATATTTTGTTTAGCAATGCTCTATGCCGAAATCATCTTATGGGCTCAAATTTTCTTGAATTTAAAAAAAAAAAAATCTTCAAATTTTAATACTGTGCCTTCAAAATGACTACTGATGTCTTCTTTTATTTTCGTAAAAGTTCTGGATCGGATATGAATCAATTAACATATGATTTAAACTTCTAAATGAAATTTTCATCATTTTAAAATTGTTTTGATGGGAAATGAATCAGGACATGTTGACTCATTTATTTACAATCCATGTATCATCATATGGTATATAATATGTTTATTGTTTAATACGTATTATAACTGAGGATTACCAGAATCTTAACTTTTGTTTCTGGGATAAATATTTATGCCTCATAAAAAATTCCCTGATGTAACAATTTAATGACAAATTTGAGGCTATTTTCAGAAAAAGGCAACTTTACTTATATTGTCCTCTAGATCCAAATTAGTGTCTGTAGTAGTTAAAATGTTTTAAATAGGGTACATGAAGGTTTTATTGGTAGATTACGACGGTCATCATGCATGCTTTAACGTACCGCTATCAGTTCGAACATTTTATATTGCTAATCTTTGCATACTTTTCATTAATCCTAAACAGCTTTGACTTGTTGTATTACTCCTATAATCTTCAATCATCTTGCCATACGTAATTTGTATAATATTTTGCATTATCGTAGGTAACAAATCATATGGTTAGCGGAGGAGAAACATCAAAGCCTGCCTTGGGGGAGAGCTGGAAATGCATTCCACACGTAAGACTTCAGCTTTCTCGGTGCCCAGGAAGCAGCATCTGTAACGTATCTGTATTGAAGCACACGTCCATGGCAAGTTGATCTTAACCCGTATCTGTATCATAGCTTTATATTCTTCATCTAAAAAAAAAGCTTTATATTCTTCATCCTAGGATGTTTGACGCCTTTGAATCGAACCAATATGATAGTTAATGATTCTAAAAAATGCTATAAAATGATTCCTTATTTGAAATATAGCATGTATTCTACCACAGTTTTTGCTGTGTTTGCAAATTGAACAAAGTTGGTTGCTTTGTTTTACCCGTATGTTTTTCATATAATCCTTCAGCGATTGTCAAATTGCAGCGGTAAAACCATAGTTATCATAGGCATTTTAGTGTGCATGCACAGGCAATTGCTTTGATCTTGCATGTGTACATTTTAAAATATCCATTACCTACCAAATAAAATGCCATTAACCTAGCATTTGATTCTATTTCTTTAAAGTTTGGCTTTAATGCCCTTGCCCTTATTATTTCAGGGCCTTGACCTGTTCCTTTTTTTTTCCCAAAATTTTAACTTGGTTTTTTATATAATATATTTTTACTTATATAAATATAACTTTAAAAAAATATTCAGTTTGTGTTCTCCAAAAAATTTAGATTTTAGGGCGAGCCTCTACCCTAATGCAAAAAAGAAACGCATTTTTGCGGCTGTGAACAGTATGAAGCTAATATTGGCGTCTCACTATTCACATAAACCTATTTTTTTGACAAAAATGAAGATGAGAAAGAATATACATGGAAACTGGCATGTACTATTTGCTACAGTAAAACAAATTTATTTTTTAGCTGTACCTATGTTTAAAATTTGCCTAAAAAATAAAAGGGGTTCTTCATTCGCTAAAATTACTTTATATGAGTGTAATAATTTTCCGTTATTCTCGTTTGGTGATGTTAATCTTGTGTTAATGGTGGATTAAAAAAGCAAAAAGAAAATATTAAGTATGAAGCAATTTTGGACAATTTCCACCACTCACTTTAATTTTCCTATGCATCACATTTGCATGGATTTTTCATTTTTCCCAAGTCCTGATATTGGTATAAATTTTTATTAGAAAAAAAAATTTGCATTAAAATATTTTTATCAAAATAAATTTTAATCATTTATTTTAAGATGAGTGCTTTGAAAATATAATGACTTTGAGATATATTGCTATTAAATTTTATTTAGAATATTTGACTAAAAATTTTTGAATTCTATCAATGTTATAAGATAAATAAAATATATGCTTTTTTTTTTTTAAACTTTTTTGATATATGCTTTGTTTGGTTACCT